CATAGGAGATGGCGATCGGCGACGAGGAAATGGGAAACGAGAAGTTGATGGGCGACGATCCGAGTCAGAGTGCCTCTGTTCGTATGCAGACGTGGTGGCCTGCTGCGAAGCATAGGTAGGAGTTCCAAAGGAGACGTACGCAGGTGTTGGACGGCGGCGGCAGAAGCGTGCAATGTGGCCAGCGATGCCACACGCGAAGCAGATAGGACGGTTGTCATGGGTGCGCCACTCATTAGATGGACGGAAAAAGCGAGGTGAGGGCCTGTAAACCGGAGGCGCGGCCGCAGGAGGTGGAGCCGATAAGGATACTGCGGTGAGGGCCGCGCAACCACAGCTGCGTAGCTGAGAGTTGAAGATGGCGCAGGTGGTGCGTAGCTGACAGCTGAGAGATTAGATGCTGCTGAAGTGCATGCGTAAGGGGCCTGCACTGTAGGAAGGACATCGCAAATTTCAGTGCGTATGGCCTGCTGCAGTGTCGAAGGCAGACTTGCGGTGGGCGCGTCTATATGTGGCAGCAGGGAGAGCTGTCGGGCGACTTCCCTGATGAAGTCTTTGATCTGGTTGGACAGACTTTCTTGACGAACGTTGGCATTTGCGAGTGCGACGGCTGAGATCGAATCCGGTGGTGAGACACTCTGTCGGGCGATGGAACGCTGACGGCGTAATTTATCGAAGCTATGTCACAGGCTTACGAGGATTGCCACCGAAGTCGGGCTTTTCGCTAGCAACATCTAGAATGCGCCATCCTCAATGCCCTTGAGAATCTGCCGAATTTTCTCTTCTTCGGGCGTAGATGGGTTAACACGCCTGCAGAGGTCGAGCACATCCTCAATGTAACTTGTAAACGTCTCGCCAGGCTGTTGGTCTCTGTGGCGGAGACGCTGGTCACCGCGGAGCTTGCGGACCTCTGGTCGGCTGAACGCTTCAGTTACGAGGGTCTTAAAGGAGGACCAGTTGGCGATGGCGGTTTCACGGTTGGTAAACCAAAGCTTAGCTACGTCTGCCAAGTAAAAGATAACGTAGGCGAGCTTAGAGTCGTCGTCCCACTTGTTGCTGGCGCTTACGCGTTCGTACAAGGAGAGCCAGTCTTCGACGTCTTGCTCACCACTGCCGCTGAAGATTGGTTGGTCCCGTTGGCGAGTAGCGCCGGGGCAGGTAGACGGGGCAGCCGATGGTGCAGGATGGGCAGGGACGGGCTGGTTGGCGACCGCGTCAGTCATGTTTGGCGGTAGTCTCTCGGGCAACTTGCGAGAGTGGAGCTCCAGGTCTGCTTGGGGATCTCAGCAGCCTCCACCAAATGTGATGACGTTTATTCGAGCAGAGAAGTCGCAACGAGGTTGCAACAAAAAATGGCCGTACGCCAAGTCTGGCAAAGGCGGCACAAGCTCTCGCGAAAGCAGAGCACGGGGCTTTTCGTTATCTTCCGAAGGCGCATACCTGTTGGTGCGTATGCTCCACTACAACTGCACATTGCTTTTCTTTACAATGCTTTACTGACTTCCATGCGCTCGTTCTATAGTGAACTAGCTTGTACCCTCAAACTGGCACTACTTTTCCACCTCTGATATTCTAGGCTGTCACTCTCGTCTATGCTTGCTTATGCTGTCGTTTCCTTTTCTCTAGGCGCTTGCCCTTCTTGCTGTTTAACGGTGCTCGAACCGACATGTCTCTTGACCGACAAGGTTCGACTATAAAAGCTCCGCAGTAAAATCCTCCTAGCATTTGGTCAACACATTACCAATGTTTGTTGCCAGAAAATGCAGAATTTTGAAGACTATGCTGATAAGCTTGCGCTTGAACGAAGCTATTCCTTCGTATAAATGTTGTAAAGACTACATTTTTACTGGTATCGTTGTTTATGCATTTTTTTCATGATTCAAGAGCCAATTTGCTAAGCTGGACATCCCGCAGGCCAACTTCATATCACCCTTTAGCTACAACTCTGTCATGCTCTACGACTCTACTGCATTCTCCATCAATAACAAGCCAGCGACCATGCTCAAGAACGATGGTGGGAAGCTTGAGGAAGTTTAAACAAAAGAGTATCTGAGCAACATGGGGAACTCACGTATCGACGCACTATACAGGAACACTTAGTAACAACAGACTTCCTGATTTTTAAATAGAAATACAGCGTGATTATAAATTAGCTTTTACAATGGTCGTCATCAGTCATGCATATTTCGTCTGAGAGCAACAGTTTGGTAGCATACAGATTGAAAAATATTTAATGGCAGACGAGAGCCCATGCACCGACGCTTACTTCTAAAAATTTCGGCAGAACCCATTTTCGGCAGTGGGAATCTTTTCATACGAATCATATACCTGTACCACATGTATTATTATTTTTGCTTGCTTTGAGCGAAGCAACGTCGCCACTCACGTTAAAGCAGCGGTGCAAGATTTTTATTGAATCTAATGGCGGGGTCACACACGCACTTTCGATCACAGTCAGCGCCACTGCGAATGTGATTTACTGATCGCGATCAGAACTGCTCGTTGCTGAACAGTCCAAACAAATGTGTATGACACTTGCCGCGGGCGTCCTGCGAAAAAAAAAATTGGGAGACCCTTAACCTTTTTAGACGCTATGTACACAGTTGTGTAAACCACTACTTCTGATTCGCATCAAGTAGATGCTAAGAAAGAGCAGGATATATCGTACATTAAATAAATTGAACTTCTCGTATAAAACAATTCTCTTCTTTGGACTTAATTTTGCAGTGTACTAATACATATGATTACTTTTCTGAAAGCACTACCACGTTCGATGAGTCGTTAGACGTGCCGCTTTCTGCAAGTAATGCGAAACGCAGAAATTTTCCTTGCTCACAACTGACATCCTCTTGCTCACAACGTTCCCCATCTAGGTCTCACTACACCTGCGAAACGTCGCCATGATGAATGCCTAAAATATCTGCATGTTTCGATCCATTCTTCTCGCTTGAGCACTCTCGAATCATGTCTGAAGTTTTCCAAGTCCTCGTCTACGGAGTGTGACCATGCCCTTAGCATCGCAACTTTTTTCATCCATGTTGACAACTTCAAATACAACTTTTTTCCTTCAACCATAGTAGCCTGAAATTCACTGCCCGGAATTGTTGGTTCTCTACTCCTTCAGATTTTCTGAAAATCTGCTGATGAATGTTTAATTGGGTTCTTGCTGTTTTTTTCTCCCACTAATGCAATAGCCTGATTGAGGCTGCAGTATGTAAAAACAAATGAATGAGATTAGAGAAGGAAGATAGTGGTTTGCTGTGGCACGTGAGGCTACGGCTCATGTTCCTCGTTCCCACATACATCGACTGAGAAAAGAAAGTAGATATATTTCACCTTCGAGATGTTGTTGGTGAATGCGCAAGAGACGAGGTGAGGTCTCGTTGCCACCGTCGGCATTTTTCGCTCACAGAAAACTCTTTCTATGCTAGCAGTGGTTTTCCTGCTGCACGAGCTCGTTAGGGCTGTCACATAACGATTTACTCTCTTTCTTGGGCTTATATACTATGAATCAACCGTGATGCGTACACGTATACCACGAGCCACGCTTAGCACGTTTGTGTCACGGGAGACTGTTGTAAAATATTTTGAAGAGTGTCGCATTCCAAACAAGCTCAAATGATTCTAATTACAAAGAGTCACTGTGTACCCACAATGACAATAGCAATTTATATCGCGAAGCCAGCACCTTTATTTGAGCACCCAGCAGATATACTGAGCGCATACACAAGCATGTCTGGGACGATCTTTCATGCGTCGTATACCCGAAAGCGGCACACAGCTGTAAGGAAATAAGTACTATTCTTACCCTGTCGACATGGTAAGAGATTGGTCACGCCCTGTTCTCCCTGTGATGACTATCACTTAGAGACGACCTTCTTGACAAGCTCAACACGTTCGCTCGTCACATATGATTCTGCAGCATTCTTAAAACTGTGCGGAACACATTTGTTACGTCCCTACCAATCAATACCACTCACACAGTTCGAAACACGGCTCTCGTAAGAGCGACATCACAGAGTATTACTACTACATTAGTCCCATCTTAAGATTTGAAGAAAACATGAAAACACCGATCGCTCGAAGAATATTTAATGGGGGACGCAGTTTACCAATCGTGTTAAAAGTACTCCGGCCAGCCGGAGCAAGAACGTTGCCCCGGAGGTCCGGAGCGAAAATTGCTCCGAATATCGCGGATGCTAGACTACAGGCGTTTTGCTCCGACCTCGCAGATTTTTTTTTTTACAGTGTGTAGTTCGAAGTTGGCAGGATGTATAGAGTGAAGGGCACTGCGAAGAAAAAAATGGCAGCATATCCAAGAGGGGAATGAAGACGAGTGGGTCGAAGTGGACGAACGTATGGACGCATGGACGAAATCCTAGATGGACGCATGGACGAACGCACAGATGGACGGATGCACGGACAAAATGACAGACGTTTCACCCCACTCATTATTATTCACTCCATAAGTATGCTGTGACACAGTCTTAATTGGTATGCAATGCAATGGAACTGGCTACTGCGACTACGGCGACCACGAAGACACGGGACATACGACCCACGACGTAAGGGGCTTTGGCCCTAGAAGGACAGCCCGGCGAACAAGCGAATGCAGAAGTGTGCCGCGTTCCAGGCTCACGTGTTACACTCGATTAAAGGGGTTACTTCTTCTTTCATCCCATGAAACTAGCGCTGCTTTTAAATTGTATCGCCGTTTCGAGAATACAACCTACGAGCTGTAGAAGCAGAATAAAAGGAGAAGAGTGCAGGCGGTCGCAATGCGTCAAAATTATGTCTAGACTGAACGTCATCGTTCAGCGACGACCGTGAGACCGTGGCATACACCTTATAAATTACACTTTTTCAATAACTCGTCCGAGGTTCAACAGTATTTGCGTCGTTTCTGCCATTTTCTCCTTTTGATTTTATTGGCAATAAGCAGTTCTGTTCTTCATATTTCGAATTTAGTATACTGTCTGGCAATGAGGTTGCAGTCTTCATGCGTGGCTCATCAAGGATCGTTCGCGGTCGACACCACCTGTGGCACACTTGGACAGGCGGAGAGCAGAAGCATGCCTCCGTCGACAGGCATGGTGATTCCCGTGACGAAGGAGGCATCGTCGGATGCCAGGAAAGCGATGCAGCGTGCCACCTCTTCCGGCATTCCGATACGGCCCAGCGCGTGTGCGGCACCGACAGTTTTCTGCATCGCCTGTGTGAATGCGAAAACACGTTAACAATGTGCCTAAACTGTAAGTAGTTAGCAGTTTATTGACTTAGAAATAAATTCAGAACTTTACTTCTACTTCGGCCACAGCTGTGCTTCACACTGAAATCAGTACGTGTGTTTTAGTAACACTGCTGTGCCTTATCTAATATCAGGCAACAAGGCCCACCTAGCAACTACAAGGAGCACACTAAATTGGAGAGATATTTTTCGAGTGCCTTATAAAAGCGTAATTGGTTTGTGATCATTACATGCGCCACTGTTCACCTGACGATGAACTCTAGAAATAGGAATGTTGTTTTGAAGTAGGCCTCCGATAATAATATTTCTTGGGTTTTGCGAACCAACACCACTATGTGATGATGAGGCACGATGTTATGGAGAGTTTCGATAGTTTTGACGGCTTAGTGCCGCTTATCCTTCTGTTAAATCTATAGGTACATGAGCCTCTAGCGTATCGCATGCAGCTAAGTGCTGCCGCTATTCGATGCCACACTTTAACAGGCCTGTCAAAGCAAACTTGTGCTTATCACACTAACCGTTGTATTCACAAGCACAGCTTGCATAGCCAGCTTTCCAACTGGAAAGTGCTTCCGCTACTGTACAACGCCTTGTCTCGGTGGTCTAGTGGCTAAGGTACTCGGCTGCTGACCTGCAGGTCACAGGATCGAATCCCGGCTACGACGGCTGCATTTTCGATAGAGGTGAAAATTCTCTAAGTCTCAGGTACACGTTACCCACCAGTTGGTCAAAATTTCCGGAGCCCTTCACTACGGTGTCTCTTCTATATATGGTGGTTTTGGGACGTTGAATCCTACGTATCAATCAATCAGCGACTGTACGAAGGCGTGTTCTGCCCAAACTGATTGTACATAATGCCTTAGAAGTTCCTATCGAGTAGCCCACTTTTATGAAGAATTGTTATGGTTTTTGATGTATTGGGTACCATGAAAGTGCGCTTATACTAGTTGCCCGAGCAGTTTTAAAAAGAACCTCTGGAAAGGCTGCTCTTGCAGTTTGCGTTTTGACTGTGCTGCGGGTGAGTGGCTATGCTTCAAGTAAGTAAACCTGAAAATTTTAGCACTTATTCCATAAAATCAATTTAAGCAGCATTAACAACATGCAATAAAAAATAATTACAGCTGCGCTGCGAAAGTTAGAGATGGCTAAATTAGCTTGCTCAATATATTTTATTTCTTTCTAACTCTCCTATATATAATCTGTTGTTTGACCTGCACACGCTGAATTTCGACATATGAAGAACAAAAGTGGCACCAGTTTGCACTTATTAAAAGTTAGCGCGTACTCACGAAGCAAATCTTCTTAAACTTGCTCCAAAAGCGTAGAAGTTAAGCGTTACGTGACCAGTTGCACGCTGTATGTGAATATTTCGAGAAGCTGCTTCGTAATGTACGCACCTCTGCGTGCTGCTCCATGCTCACGGCTGGGTCCTTTATTATAGGCGTCAGGATGCAAGCAGGGCTGCATTTACAATGAATAGGTGTCACTTCACTACTGCAACAGGCGTACCACTTCGATCATATGCGATGATGCGCACCACCTTCGAATTGGCAAGTACTGCCACAAATGAGAAATTATTTGGCAGATTGCACCCCTCGCGAAAATCGGCTTCAAAGAAGCAGTCGACGAGTAATTGTATATTCTACCCTTTTTTCGGCTTTGAGCCAAGCGTAACGCATAGTATCGACGTGTCTCTTCAAGTACAGCAGTTGCGCGCACATCGAGGGCTTACCAGGAACGTCGGCTGCAGGGGCGTTTAAAAAATAATTTAGGGTATGTAGTGACGTCATCCCTCCCGTCACGCCAGCACAATTGATGGGAAGAGCACATTGCAACGCCAATATGATACGTGACTTTCGTGAGCATATTCCGCCGGCTTCGAACAACGCTTGAACATAGCTTTCTCAATCATAGGACTAGAAAATTAATGTTTATAGACTGTCATAAAACAGAGCCAACACTTTACCCACAATTTCCGTTTATCCGACGTGACATCTGGGTCTAAACAGTTCATCTACACTGCTTATTGCGCTGTTGCAAAATTGGATTGTCAGCATCGTAACCACATGACCTTTCGCCGACAATACATACCCCTGCATGGGGTCTTTATACAAAACAGTTTCAACACCTGACATGGAAGTATGGCCGAAAATTCAGATTCCACGCAGAATGCCTGGGTTTCAGCTGGAACCCTGATTTTCATTCTTTGCATTCATTGCATCTTCACTGTCAATGGCAGTTATAACGCTGACACGCTTAAACCCTAAACGCCTGTTGTCGCCGTTGCTAGATATACCAACTGTCACTCACGCGCGGCTGACGTGTCCGGATGAAACGGTTTGAAGACGGACACGACAATATAAACACTTTATTCCTTTCATCACCAGCAAGTCGCATTTGTGTAGCCCTCTCACTCTCGCATCCTAACTTCAATTTACATCAAGGTAAGGAGGCGATTGCGAGCACCCAGACGTAGGCAACTAGACAGACAGACAGACAGACAGACAGACAGACAGACAGACAGACAGACAGACAGACAGACAGACAGACAGACAGACAGACAGACAGACAGACAGAAGGACGGATATACGGACAGACGGATGAACACACGGACAGGCAGACAGACAGACGAACAGACGGACGGACGGACGGACGGACGGACGAACACACGGACAGGCAGACAGACAGACGAACAGACGGACGGACGGACGGACGGACGGACGAACAGACGAACAGACAGACAGACAGACAGACAGACAGACAGACAGACAGACAGACAGACAGACAGACAGACAGACAGACAGAGAGACAGACGAACCGCGACGATAACTCCTTTCACTCTGTCCTGCATTTCTCGACGCCGCTCTCCTCTCCCAAGCCGTTTTGCCATCTCGGCCAGTGCCCTTCCCGATCTCGCGTAACAAACATTATTATCGCTAACGCGCCGCTTGAAACACACACCGTTTACTTTCGGTTGCCGCGACTTTGGCCGTCCACTCCGTCAGTTGCGTTGTAGCGTGCTTGTTGACGAACCGTGGATGCCCTAATCGTGCCGGTATGGACCGTGCGTTGCACGCACGCCTTCAAAGAATTGATTGATTGATTTGTGGGGTTTAACGTCCCAAAACCACCATATGATTATGAGAGACGCCGTAGTGGAGGGCTCCGGAAATTTCGACTACCTGGGGTTCTTTAACGTGCACCTTCAAAGAATTGCCAACGCGATAGACCCGCTCGGGGACACGCCGGGCCAGACAACTTCCGCACGAAATGAGGCAGGCACACAGACGCGGGCAACACGAGGAACAACGAGCAGCATGGACAGCTGCTTGCGTACTGACAGGAGGTTGTGGGCCCTTGCTCGACCAATGACAACATACTTTCTTCGGCGCATCACGCTGAGGCCCGAGAGTCCCGGAAAGGAGGAATTTTTTCTTGGACATTGTGGCATGCCGGTGGCTCGTAGCACTGCCACGTATAGAATTGTTGATCGCGATGGCATTCCGCACACGATGCGCGTCTTTACTTGAAATGCTTGAACAAATATTAGAGGTGGTTTTCGGGACCTTTAAGGAGCTTCGACCATAAAACCTAATTCTCAGGGCCGTAGCTCCAGTGCTCAGTTTGATATTCCGTTTTGCGTAGGACTATCAGTGCGATTTTGAGATAGTGCTAGCCAAGTGTTGGCGGCATTATTAAGCCATGGTGCTTCCCTCGTCTAGTTGGACACATCGTCAGCAGAGCTTTCCGCAAACTGCTGTGACAGCGACAAACGAGTCGTTTAAGGAAAAAAGGCAGTAATGTGAAGTTTTTCGGATCATGCTCGTGTGAGGATGCTTTGCTGCAACACTTCTCCCGTTTTATTAGTATTCATAGAAAGCATCCAGCCTTTTCTAAAATGCAGAAAATTTTCTACCATCCATTTCTCAGTGCCATACTTTACCTCCATTTCTAGAGAATATGGCAAAATGTACGACGTGAAGAGGGCACAGCAAAGTTTACATTTCGACAAATCTTCACAACTAGATTGCACGTGTTGGTGCTTCCGCACTCGAAAATTGGGGGAACTGGCCAGCTCTGCCCTCTCTCGAGCTTCTCGTGAACGACAGAAAGAGCTGTTCGGAGGTACTTCTTGCATAATTTAGCAATTTCTCTAGGCTCGTCAACATTTCACAGACGAGACGAGTCTGGAAGGTAAACAAATTCAAAAGCTGCTGAGCACACTTACTTGACAGCATTCACACGTACGCCATAAGGCGCATTTTCTGAAAAAAAGGATAAAGAGGCAGTAAATCCACTGATCAGCTATGCGAAAAAGCAATGATTTAATGCAGCGATATTCCATTTATTGCGCTTTGATATGACCGAATGTGTGATATATCTGTGTAAATTATCTTTTCTCATTACATCACTTGAAAATTTGTCACTTTGCTCTACACACAGTCTTTTTTATTAGAGCTCGGTCGTTCATATGATGCATTTTATGAAACTTCATGACATCTTATGAAGCTATTCTTGCTTCCTTTTAAGTGATACATCTGCTTTGGGTCTCTGTGACTTTCCTTATTATCTGTATAGCGATCACTCCTCATGGGATCAGTCTGATGAGCTGAAGGACTGTCGTACATTCGATGGATGCCTCAACTCCTTAGGCCTACTACCTGCAACAATGGAATGTCTACTGTTGCCCAGGTTTTTTGTGGCTTGCGTCGCGACAAGGCAGGCAAGGCACGCAGTAAGGTACGTTTCAAACTACTTGCTTTGGCTCCGACAGCTTCTCTCTTTGCTCACGACCACCATCAGCAACGTGACGTCATGCACTGGTTCTCCACTCCAGAGAGTTTCCTATAGCTACGCTAAAAGGAACTCTGGCGCTAGTGTCTATGAGAGCTGCAACGCACGGCGCTTCAGCGAGCATGGGGATGATGGGTTCTACACGAATTTGTCTAATTTTCGTAATTTCGGCTCCGGTTGGCTTCACGTGGCTTGAATTTGCCTTGTCACAAAACGACAAGCGAGAAATATCCTACAGTTTTGTGTCGTTGCTTGTGCGTTTAGGCTCACTGTTTTAATCATCTATCAAAGCTTATTATAACCGTTCGTTATTTCATTAAAAACAAAACCTAAACACAACAATAAACGAAGCCGCAAGTACGTTCGAGACCCTCAGGTACGAAGACAAGGCAAATCCGTGTACTACCAATAATTCCCATGGTAGATGAACAATTAAAGTGCCAGAGTTCCTTCCGGTTAGTTTTAGGAAACTCTATGAAAACTCCACTCAGTACTACAGAGCCCTTTCCAAGCTGCATAGTATTATCTGAAATATTACAATATGCCGGCAGCCCCTTCGACACATTCTATACACGAACGTCATGGCTTCGTCAGCCGTGCCGATTTAAGATTCACCTTGAGAATCCGACAGCCGCCATGAGTCTCAGATATCTACCACTTCGCGTTTTAACGCACATGTTGTTATTTTTGTTCAATGCACTACTAATGTTGTGTGTGTGTGTGTGTGTGAATGCAATCACCCATTCTTTACATATGCAACTATCGTCGGCTACAAACTAAGAAAGAGAGGAGTTCCTTTAGCTGCGGCTACCCAGCAATGACGCTGGTGTGGTTGCTATGCGCATTCCCAGAGCACTTACCCCAGCTATGCGCTTTGACTACGTCCATTAGTACGTCATCTAGCGTAACCCAACGGAACGTCGACATAGAAAAAAACGGTTGCTGTAGTGAGCAAAACGACCTCAGTGAAGTCTATCGCTTCATTGCAAAGCCAGTGGCAATAACAGCACCCACCAAGTTATGAAAAGTCCTCCAATCTATGTGAAGATAAAGCCCACGCAATTGTGGTCGGCTGAGCAAAGTATGGACTTCGAGCCGGAGCCTTGCGTAAGCATATTCTTACACTTGAAAACTTCCCTGTCGTTTAATTATTATCATATTTTCATCGCTGTTTACCTTAATTTTGCATGTAAAGCTTATAGCAGCAACATTTCCCGCATTGTCCTCAGCATCAGCACTCACACTGCGCATTCGCAATTCTTCTGCTTCCTCCCCCTAACCGCTGCGCGTTGCTCTCTCCACTTCTCTCACTACCTGCTTGCGCTTTCAACCACATCTCTCTTCTCTAGGCATTCCTCCTAGCAGCGTTAACAACCCCATTGCGCATGCGCGTCCTCTCTTTCTTCTCTGCTTTGCTGCTCCTCTCTCCGCTCGCAACGCCTACGCAGGGAACGTATGCCAACCTACGCTCGCTTACCTCCCTTCCTCCGGGCAGGCCCCCATGGCGCTTACACCCTTATTGCACATGCGCGCTCTCTGCCCTCCTTTTCTAGGTTCCTCCCCTCTCTCGCCTCGCAACGTTAACGCAGGCAACGTCTGCTAGCAAGTTTCTTGATTGAAAAATTCACAGCATATCTACGGAGTGAATGATGATGAGTGGGGCGAAGTTTCCGCCTGTCTGTGCGTCCGTCTGTCTGTGTGCTATTTTATTGATACTATCAAATTAAACCACACCGAACGCGTACTTCCCGGCCATCTATTGGCCACTTCACGTTGGATGGATGGATGGATGGATGGATGGATGGATGGATGGATGGATGGATGGATGGATGGATGGATGGATGGATGGATGGATGGATGGATGGATATGGCTGTACCCTTTAGATCGGGTGGCGGCTAGCGCCCCACATAGGAAAAAACGGTTACTGCAGTGAGCAAAACGATCTCAGTGAAGTCTATCACTTCATTGCAAAGCCAGTTGCAATAACAGCACCCACCAAGTTGTGAAGAGTCCGCCAATCCATGTGAAGATGAAGCCCACGCAATTGGTGTCGGCCGAGCAAAGTATGGACTTCGAGCCGGAGCCTTGCATAAGCGTATTCTTACACTTGAAAACTTCCTTGTCGTTTAAGTATTATCATATTTTCATCGCTTTTTACCTAATTTTTACATCTGAAGCTTACAGCAGCAACATGTCCCGCGTTGTTCTCAGCAATCAGCACTCACACTGCGCATGCGCAATTCTTCTGCTTCCTCTCCCTAACCGCTGCGCGTTACTCTCTCCACTTCTCTCACTACCTGCTTGCGCTTTAACCACATCTCTCTTCTCTAGGCATTCCTCCTAGTGGTGTTAACAACCCCAGCGCATGCGCGCCCTCTCTTTCTTCTCTACTTTGCTGCTCCTCTCTCTGTTCGCAACGCCTACGCAGGGAGCGTCTGCCAACCTACGCTCGCTTACCTCCCTTCCTCCGGGCAGGCCCCTATGGCGCCTACACCCTCATTTCACATGCGCGCTCTCTGACCTCCTATTCTACGTTCCTTTCCTCTCTCGTTTCGCAACGCTAAAGCAGGCAACGTCTGCTAGCAAGTTTCTTGACTGAAAAATTCACAGCATATCTACGGAGTGAATGATGATGAGTGGGGCGAAGCTTCCGCCTGTCTGTGCGTCCGTCTGTCTGTGTGCTATTTTATTGATACTATCAAATTAAACCACACCCAACGCGTACTTCCAGGCCATCTATTGGCCACTTCACGTTGGATGGATGGATGGATGGATGGATGGATGGATGGATGGATGGATGGATGGATGGATGGATGGATGGATGGATGGATGGATGGATATGGCTGTACCCTCTAGATCGGGCGGTGGCTAGCGCCACCAAGCCGTAATACTTAATGAACCAAAAACTAGCTTTATTTTTTTTCCTTAAATAGTAAGGTTGAGGATGCGTACTTTGCAGCGAAGGGTTCAATTTTCACTCGTGCCTTGACTTTAGCCACCAATCAGATAACCTCCTTCCAGTTAATTCTACCCGTTTAATGTATATTTTGCCCTCACTGTCCCTAAACCCCAGTGCTTTGAAAAACTCTGCGCCATCAACCTGAACTACAGGGTGAAGCCCTTTACAGAACATTATCAAGTGTTCGGCAGTTTCTTCTTCCTCTCCACACGCACTGCATACCGTGTCTACCCCTTCGTATTTGGCCCGATATGTCTTTGTTCGCAATACTCCCGTCCTGGCCTCCAACAGTAGACAACTAACTATCATAGATCTTTTCCTTGGCTATTTCCTGCTTAAAAGTTCGATAGAACTTTTACGTACTGCCACAGTGCAGCGCCATCTGGGGAACATTGTGAGAAGTAAGGGGTGGCTACAACACCGTTGGGACTGAGGCACAGCGTAAGGAGCTACGCCCTTAAAGGAACACTAAATTCAACTATTAAGTCGAAGTTGATTGTTGAAATGGCGGTCCATAAATTTCGCAGTGTTACCTTTGTGGCAAAGAAGGGCCTATTTTGAAATAAAATTACGTTTTAGTGCTCCGCATCTGGTTAGCGCACTTTAAATTACCTGCCTCAAGAAGCAGACTGAACGGACCAACTCACGTCACTGTTGCCATGCACAACGTTAACCGGCTTTACTGCGCTAGTAGCAGCAGAACGAAAGCAGCGGGAGCCACAGCAGCAACAACGGCCATTGATCAATTTCCCGCCTTGACTTCAAGATTGCAGGCGTTTTGTTTCATCTGCGCCCCGCTAGATGAAACCACCTGTCCAGTGTAATCAAGCGAAAATTGAATTTTTTAACCCCTCGTACCATTCCCCATAGTAACATCCAGCGGTTCTTTTTCCCATGAATCAAACAGAAACGAACAAGCAGCATTTTGTTGGGTCTCTTGATGCACGGAATGTTCTTTATTTAGTGCAGTTAGATGGATTACCAGTGAATAATTGTATGCGGTCTGTCGGATGTCATCGCGATCATTTTTAAAGTGTCCTACTGCGGCTTTGTATTCCGGTGCATTTACCTTAATTTCACGGTAAGTAGGGCACTGTTGTTGATAATATTGTCGTTTTATATGTTATCATATATTATGCTTTCGCTCTGACATATGTTGTATTTGAATTTAGTGTCCCTTCAAAACCTACTGATCGCGCTGCACAACCGTTCACGAGCCGTTCCGTAAATACAGGCACTAGATCTTGACCTTCAAGGTATTGCCGGTGGGAGATTTCTCCTGTGTGTCGCTGTACAAAAAAAAAGTTAAAAAGTCTCAGCATGCGCTTTAACTAAAACTGGACTGAGGGTCTCTGTGTCCAATCTGAGTCTTTTGTCTCTCATTAGCCACTCGAAGCGACTGGCATGTTTCAGTAGAAAACACCGGTCCATCACTGCGTGTTTGCGTCTCCCTAGGGTTCTCTGACGCGCGATGCCGCGATGAGTGCTAGCGTCAACGTCACCGTCAGTGTAAGCGTTAGCGCCCACTGCTTCGCATATACACATAGTCCCTTTAGTAGAGATGACGCAATATTTTCACACTTTTAAACGCTCGTTACTACATTAACGTTATACTTATTATTACTTTTGTCGTACATTAGCACCCATTTTTCTTAGACTACTGCCCGAGATGTCTTCCAAAGCTTTGATGTATTTTGGCATTGTTCAGGTTTCATTGCTGTGTTCATCAAAACGGTTGATTTGGTACGTCAGTGCATTGGACGAAGGCTTTCTTCCTTGTGCGCCTGATGAAAAAATCATACGAAAAATTTAATCTTGGTCTTAGGGATGATGATGCCTTCATCAAATACATACATCTGTACGCTGCTGTCATGCAAAGAAGCACAGTCGGTGACTCGAATGAACTCAGAGGCTTCCTGCACGTGCGCCAGCTACATGCTTCAATTAGCGTAGATCTTTGCGCGAAAGTTCTCTTTTCGGCGAGTGAAAAATTCAACCAGCTATAAGTAGCAGACACTTATCAAACAGCGGAGCTGTTTTATGAGTGTCCGCTGGTTGAATGAGGCGGAATTCAAATGATGTGCTATGAAACTGCAGTGAAGTGGGTTAAATGAAGTCGGTTCAATGAAATTGAATGAAGTCGTTGAATGATGTGCAATGATTGGCTGGAGTAGTGGTGGGCGTTGAGACTAGTGGTAAGAGTCTTGACTAATAGCACCTACCCATTCCCAATTCTACGACGACTGCGCACACGAAAGCCTCGAAGATCATTTTCGCTCTTAAAACGGTAACTTTGATAGAAGATTGGTCATCCATTACTAAATTTTTTTTTCATGTCACGGCGCCCCATAGCGTCTGCAGCAGGACTTTCACACATTAATAATGGCTTTCAACGTATATGGTATCTTACAAGAAACCTTAGGCATCTGTAATTAGCCTTAAAGTAGCTGTCCCTACTTCTCATAAACACTGCTGCAACGGTTTGTTGGATAACTGACATCGCGTTTTTTTCATCAACTTTAGTCAAATCAATTATTTCTTCAAATGATCCTCATGTAACAAAATCTGACATGGCGTTTATCTTCTCGCTGTTGTTAGGAATAAAAAAACGCATTCATTGTGTGTATTTTTAAGGTGCATTTACTCCTTGATGATGTACTGTAAGTGCTCCCACACGCTGCTAAAGTTTCAGACAGGGGCTGTGGTTATCACACAAGTATACATACCTAGTGCAGCACATCGTGTCAGCTGGTCCATAGCCGCTTTGGTAACGGCGTATGGAGCAGTATTGGGTATCTGTTAAAAGAGGTTCGTAAAAACACTGTCAGTTAAAGTTCTTCCACCTAAAGGAATAAGTGGTATGGCGGTGAATTTCTTGGAAAAAAGACCCCCCCCCCCCCCAAACGGTTCCTCAAAAAGAAAAAAGATACCGAGAACATTAGCCAGAGGGCTTAAGGAGCAATGATTCAAGCATAATTTTGAGGTTGGTGACAGTTTTCTTAAACAAAACATTTATTTTCAAATAAATAATATGACAAATTTTTCCTTTTGTTTATTTTTAGTAATAATAATTTTCTGGTTTAACATGCTAAAGCCCCATATTTTCATGAGTGGAGGCTGCGAATATTTCGACCACCTGGTGGTTTTTCACGTATACCTATATATCTCTATATCTATATCTATATTTCACGTATATCCTATATCTAAACACATGGGCATCAAGCACTTTCGGCTCCATCAGAAATGTGGTTGCTGCGGCGGCAATTTATTCGCGCGGCCTGCTGGTCAAAATCCGAGTGTCCTAGCCACTAGACCACCATGCGGGTAGCATCCATTTATTGAAATTTTCCAGGCATTCCCAATGAGTTTTACAAAAACGCAGCGCGCAAAGAAATTATGGTTGCTTTTCAATGTAGTACTCAGAAATTGTGCATATTTACCAGTGCCTCCCGTACAAATTACTCGACCACATAATCTCGATAAACTAGCCCTTGCAGGATAAACTTCATGAACTCCATTAAAAGAGCCTGACCAATTGTTCGTCGCACTTAAACGAGTATCATTACTGCGAGAACGTCGTAGTTAAATCTTGAATGCTTAATCCACTATGAAGTAATTCTGACGCATCATGCTACTGGCGCAACTTTTTCCGGTGGCCACTCATTTTTCTTTATTTGACATTACCCTAATTACACCGCATGCCTTGTCTTGCTGTAGACACTTTATACATTCAAAACGATTTCAAGAAAGCCAAACACCCTTTTGTCCATCAAGGCTTTCACAACTGGGAGTGTAGGCCCGTGTGCTCAGATTTGGGTGCACGTTAAAGAACCCCAGGTGGTCAAAATTTCCGGAGCCCTCCACTACGGCGTCTCTCATAATCATATTGTGGTTTTGGGACGTTAAACCCCACAAATCAATCAATCAAATCAACAACTGGGAGTGTAGTGTTCTTTTGCTTGTCCAAATAGCTTTTCGACTTGCCTGAGACTTCATAACATCCTTTGCATCCAAAATAACCTTGTCCAAATAGGCTTTTCGTTTGCGTGAGATAAGCTAAAATGCCCTTAGCTTCCACAACAGCCTTTCGAAGCTAAAGGTGTTGTGAATCGTATCAGTAGCTCCAGCCCGCACGACTCCTGTCATGCGAGCCGCAGCTACAAACTTGAACTAGCAAATAAAAAAAATATGGAAATTAGGCGTGTAATCATAAATCAACAGACACGTGTTTTAGCGCTTACTGCAAGCACGCCAAAGTAAAAGCTCGTTCATTCAGCGCTCTTTTATTCGATAAATCGGATAATTCGGACGTTTCTCTGGTCCCGGAGATTATTTGCACTTTTCAATGATCCGTCGTAAATCCGGTCCCATTTGTCCGAAAACAGGTCAAATCAGACGATCATCGGAATCAGCTCAGAGTGAAGCACCACGCATGCGTCAAACAATAGACGGAAAACGGCGTTTAAAGACAAGCGAAACAAGGCGCAGCAGTCCACATCGCTGTCTTCCTGAGAGTGTATGACATGGCAACGACAGGAGGGGCCAGATCGTTTCATGTCAGCTAGCATATTCTACCACTGCGATTGTCGGAAAGGCGTCTTCGGAAAGGCGTCGTCAACATGCTCAATCAAGTTGTTGGTGACCAAGGCTTCCGCTGCTGTGCGAAGTTGTTCCGTTTATGTTTTTACTCTGCAGTGAACGTAAACTCTGTATGTATCGTATACGACTTTATGAAGTATAAATATTAAGCAAGGAAAGGACGACCACAATCTTTGTATGCCCATAAAATATGCTTACCGTAGTCAGCGATGATATGCTAGAAACGTTGACAATGCTGCCTGAAAAAAATATAAAGAACAACACATCAGATGACTAGTCTGTTTTTCAACTTAGAAAACGCTGTGAAAAGCGCAGTTTTTTTTTGTGGTTAATGCGGTTCTGCTGATTAAATTTACCTAATACAAATATGAGTGCCATAATCGGGAGCTTACTGATTGGCTTGAACGGCTTTTATATGTTATTATTAGAAAACACAAGCTTTTTCTTCAAATCCTCAAAGAAGTGATAATTATGTCGGCTACGCGATCAAGCTCAGATCTTGTAGAGTGAAATTTTCATCCCAGAAACTTAACGTGGTAAGTAACAAAAGGTTCGCAAACTAAAAAGAAAATGCTTTAGAGGCGACATTTGGGGCAAGAGTGAACGAGAATGATCTTCCGCATTTGGAGTAGTTTTCAAGGGTACGATCCACGCTTTGCCCTTCTGAATGAGCGAAAATTCGAAATCGTCTCTCAAAGCGAAAATATAAACATTGGCAGGTCCCTCGCCTTGTGGGAATAGTTTTTATGCGAAGCAGTCAGTAGTTCTATGTCGTGCATTGTTATATTGAGCAATATATACTATATTGAGGTGCATTAGCATGTTTTCGTAAGTGTTCTAGTTCTGTACACATCGTAGTCTTACCAGGCGAATGTAGACAACACTCCTTTTAAGAGGTCAAGATATCGCTTGACTAACGTCAGCGCTCTTGTTAGAGAACATTTATCAGTATTATTGAAACAAAATTTACTTAGTGATACGATAGCGTTTCATAAACAGCGGTAATATGACACGTAACTTTCGTTAGCCTATGCCTCTGGGCACGGTGAACGCTCGCATATAGGTGGCCGGTTCATAGCAATGCAAATATTAAGTTTATCAGACTGCCAGAAAAGCGGAGCCAGCACTTGAATCACAGGCGTTAACCTGACATGACGCCCGTATGGTGAGAGTACAGATGTTGTGTTTATTGCTTGCTTATGATATTAGATAGCGAGCACCGCAATGACAGTTGACGTTGCATCAACGTTACACCTGCGTAGAGGCGTTCTAACGACGCAGTTTCTAGACGAGCTGTTGCTATCTTGGTAGAATACCGGACTGCCATGCAGAAGACTTGCTCTGATTTTTTGCGAAGATCTTAACTTTGTTCTTCACATTCGTCTGAATCACGTATGCTACCGATGTTTGTCTTTCGTTACGCTTTTGCATTTAAATAACATTTTGCCCAGATATGAACTGTCGATCCCCTGTGGCGCGTACTCATATTTGCAACTTTCACAGATGGTGGTGCCGCCACGCGTCATCGTAACTGTCGTTTGGGGGAGGCCCGCACAGCCAGCTCGTGACATCGTTCAGTCGGCCTTACTTTGGCGGTTTGCTGGTGCATTGTATTTGGACGCTAGAGGTCTTTACTTCGATTATTCTGAATTCGGTATTGAGCTACCGTAGTCGGACAGGTACTGCGAATTGTAGTAGCAATGATTTACTCTTTAATGTTTGTTTGCTCAGTTTAAGAATCACAAATTGTGTTGGATGCCGCTGTGAACATGCCGTGCAGTCAAAGGCGAAGTTTCCTGCTTCGAACAAGCAAGGCAGCTTGATCTTCCCCGACCGTGGCACGAGCAGCGTTCACAAAGTCGCATGTGCATTTCTTCACACCACAGCAGACGATGTGCCTAGTGGTCAAAAATCATTTTTTTTTTCAAAAATACGCCGCACACGCGTTTCTCAACACCCAGTGTAAGATATAATACATGCTAGAGTCAATGACCTTCTCAGCAAAGCCTCGACAACGAGGTGGGTGCAGCTGAAAATACTACGCAGTTCGAAGTGACGGGCACACCAGTGGCGGCTGCTCGTGCGCCGGCTGCACGATCCCGCAAACTACAGCCATGTTGGGTAGAGTTCTACCTGAACGCTGGCCGCGCGGCGCGGTGTTCAGGTAGAACAGGACGGCTTTGTACGTCCCTCGACAATGGTATTTTATAGAACTATTCACCTCAGGCCACGGAGTGTGTTCCATAGTCATTCGAGAAAGAAAACAATGAAGTGTGGGCACGAGAGGAGTAATCGTGCATGTGTGCCGAACTAACGTTTGCCGCTCGTGAATGCGGTTGTAATCCGTCGGACTTATTAAACCTTTGATAAACCGAACGTATGGCGAGTTGGTATTCTATTGTGGGTGGCATTTGGCGCAAAAACAACTAGAACAAAAACGAGGAGAGCACTCTACAGGCGAAAACACCTTCCTTCTACGCCTACTTATGTAGCTTTGTTTATTGTAGTGTTTCGGCTTTGTTTCGAGTATAAATGAACGGATAGTTGTGAACTTCGTGAGCCGGAAGTTGATTCATTCGTGAGCCGACTTAAATTGGTGAGCCTAACAAGGCCGAGGTGTTGAAGCGTAATTGTTAAACCTTTGCTGAACTTCGTCAACAAATCCGTGAACTACGCATAATTCTCATACTGGCTGAAGCGCAGTGCGTTACAGCTTCCATAAACAGTTACACTAGAGTCAATCTATTGTATTTTTATGAAGCAATGTACAGTCGTACCATTAGTGTGGCGTAAGTGTGGCACTGCCTTCTGCGTCATCATTAGTTGACCGCGAAAGTTAGTGTCCCAGACTCGGTGAAAATTTTCCATTGGTGCATCTTGAACTTTTCCTTGCATGGGAATACCAGCATTGTTCACCTGAAATAGAAAGAAGAAAATTTTATTGAACTACACATTCCTGTAGTGAAATTCTTCACTTTCAGCAAAAGTGATCTTGAATTGCGAAGTAGGGCACCCGACCAACACTGACTACCACGACATCGTCAACATTTGGAAGCTAAATGCAATTTTTTTTCTGAAAGTAGCATCACCTTTCATTAGCAACTTCATAACTTACTAGCGCTAAGCAATTTGGCGCAAAGTACCATAACCAAAACGTCGTTCACTGACATTGCAGGCACGTGCATCTGTGGCTTACAATGCGCATTCTAAGACTGCGATACTCTATTTTTTTATTAGTCAGGGCCACAAAATTCGCGCCTGTAACAATTACGCTGCTAGCTAGCAACAGCGTGAATGTAAACCGTGTCAAAAACATAAAAACCATGTGCTCACGCTCCACTTTTGTGGCATCATTCATCATCAATATGAACCGTTCCATTTTTGGTTCATCATAAGTGTGCCACTCGCTTGACAATCATTATGGGGAAGGTATAAGTGCGATGGGGCACCTCGGACAGAACACATACATGGCTGAGCACGCACTTCTCGTTATGTCGCATTGTGTATAGTCGACACGCCGCGCCACGATTATTCTGTGCGATACCAGTCGCAAATGGTGGTGGAGGAGGCGAAGGCACTACCGGATGAGCGATTCCCGTCTGGCAGTGAGATGAATTGAGCGCTAAATTTACCGAAAGTAGCTCGTTTCCTGAGCTGCATGGGCATATTTTACGCACCATATATTTTCCTATAAGTACAATAGAGGAAACTCTGGCGCTAGTGTCTACGGGAACTGCAATGCATAGCACTTCATCCAACATATAGGAATGATGGGCAGTGACGAAATTGTCTGATTCTCGTTATTGCGACTTGGTTTGGCTCCGTATGACCAAAATACACTTTGCCGCAAGACGAAGTTCAGCAAACGTTAAGCAGTTAAGCTGATCCACGTCACCAATTCAAATCAGCACGACGCAAAGTTCATAACGATCTGTTCTTTTATTTATAACAAGGAAAATATAGCAATAAACAAGGTCGAAATCGCGTTCGAATACCATGGGCACGATTATTGGGCAAATCGGTGTACTAACCATCATTTCCATGGTAGCTGAACGATCGCAGCGCCTGAGTTCACTGTAGTTGATTTTAGGAAATACCATGGTTCACAGGTAAATATTGCGATAGCACCGCGTCGGGTTCGAGTATGCACCTTGAAGCGTGGTAGGTGGGCTCCGCAAGGGAAGGCGGTTGCTTCTCTTGATCTGCTGCCGGGATGGTAATTTGACGACCTTGCGGGAAACGGGAAATCTAGAACGTTCAAACTTATTTCATCTTCAAAATAAATATTTACGTTTTCCTGGCAACCTTTTGTGGTGAATTTGATAGAATAATATTCTTTTCGTTCGACCTTTTTTCTATTTTTCTAGCATAAACGACTATGATCCTTCACTCCATCAGTATTTAAAGCACTCTCGTGATCCCACTTTGTGGCTAGGGGGCTGATGTTTCATTACACTGTGCAATGCACACGTTTAACCATTGATTTAGATAAGCCACTGAGCAGTCGCATATAGCGCCCACCTTTCATCTTGGTACTAAATGCTTCAGCTAGCGCTGCTAATTTACCCTAGGAAGATTGCAATAAAATCGACCATGTCGGCTGAAAAGTGCGCCCGCACGAACTTTATATACCATAAGAAAACTGTTGAGCTTCAACGAACTGGCCGAAATTTACCGTACGGTAATAAATAACGAATGTATGTGTTATTATGCGAATGAAAGTGTTCAATAAATTTTTGGGTGTTTTTTTCCTCAAAATTTGTACCTGCCACATCCCCCGTTTGAATGTTGCGGCAATACCCAAATTGGCAATGGCGCCTTCCACTGGCGACTCTGTAATCAGGCCTTTGACGAGTGCTCCGCCACGCTGCATCACGTCAGTCACAAATAACTATTTGATGCGACAAATCCTAGGTGAAAGGATTGATTCTGCAGCCTCTCCGTGCGTGCGTTCTTAAGTTATTACCGCAGACTATGAAGCTGAGTGTGCAAGCAAGAGGGTAAATGTGTGAACATCCGAACAAGGTGGTGCAGAGTATAGCGCCTAATACAAAGAGTAATTTATTACTGACATCTACGAATCATTACCTTCCTTTTCTAGAAATCAGAAACTATCAAAATTATGCTTAATAACTACATGCCTGTGCAAATAATGCTGAAGTAGGAGAAATGCGGTGGCCCACAAATACATAAGGAATTCTAAATAGTTTATGTAGGTCCGCTAAACTTCCGTACAATAGTAGTTTATGTAGGTCCGCAAAACTTCCGTACAATAGATTGCCAGATCCCACGTACCGTGGAAATCTATGGTATACAATGCACGAATGAAAGATGTTGATATGTCACTTTAAAACAAAAGATGTTGATATGTCACTTTAAAATCAGCACAACGCTACGAGATTGAGCTAAATGATTCCGTACATCACTTCCGTGTCATGATTATCATGTTTTGATGTGTCTTTTACCTTGGTCATCTCTTCAATTCACCTGACACCGAATTTCGTATATGTTGAGCTAGCAAAACAGCCACGAGAGCATCATGAAAGGCCCAATATACTCCAATGTAGCGTTGACGCGCGCACACGCTGTGCACAGCGACGCTACCTTTGCAAAACGCGAGCACTCAATAGTCTGACGCCAAACACGACCAGCGTCCGTCGGCGCGGCTCGACGGCAACCGGCGCGAAATGCGACATACTGCATTTTGTGGCAATGCCTTACCCAGACAACACTGCATCTGTCTGTTTTCGTGATGGAGGAACGCCGGATGCACTGAAACGCGCACGCGTCAATGGCGCCTGGAGTGGCAACGCTGGCGTGACGCGACGGAATGAACGCCGGCGAGCAAGCGCACCGCGTCACGTCGAAATGTATTGGCAGTTTGACTGTGGCATGTAGTCATGTTCTCACATGACACGAATCTCATGATTATTGTGTTTGCACCAGTCACATACTTTCGTCATCCATTGGCGCCACGTAATACCAAATTTAGCATATGTGAAGCTAGCAAAACGGCCGCGAGCGCATTATCAGTGTGTCATGTAGTCATGTTTTTAAATGACACGCATGTCATGATTATCAAGTTTGGATATTTTATTTACCTATGTCGCCCGTTCGCGTCGCGTAATACCAAGTTTCGTAAATGTGAAGCTAGCGAAACGGCCGCGAGCGCATCATGAGCGTAGCATGTGGACATGACACGCGTCTCATGTTTACCATGTTTGCACCAGTATCATAGCTTCCACATCCATTCACGTCTCGTAATACCAAATGGGTTGTAAGTGAAGCTAGCGAAATGGCCGCCAGCGCATCATGAGCGTGACATGTAGTCATTTTGTTACATGACACGGATCTCATGATTATCTTGTTTCCACCAGTTACATACCTTCGTCATCTATTCACCTACAGTAATACCAAAATTGGTATATGCAACGCTAGCGAAACGGCCGTGAGCGCATCATGAGCGTGGCATGTAGTCATGTTGTTACATCACACGCATGTCAAGATTTTCATGTTAGGGTCTGTCGCTTGTGTTCCCCATGCAATCATGCCGTACCATACCAGTTTGGAACATGCCATGCGAACGCAACCACCGCAAGAGCTGCAGAACCACGAAATGTAAATCATGGCATTCCTGACACACACATCATAATTTTCATGTTATGACTAGTTGAACATGTTCTTCATACAGTCATGGTATGCCATACCAAGTTTGGTATCGATACTATTATTGAAACGGTCAGGAGAGCTAAATGCCGTAGCCGGCTAGATAGATAGATAGATAGATAGATAGATAGATAGATAGATAGATAGATAGATAGATAGATAGATAGATAGATAGATAGATAGATAGATAGATAGATAGATAGATAGATAGATAGATAGATAGATAGATAGATAGATAGATAGATAGATAGATAGATAGATAGATAGATAGATAGATAGATAGATAGATAGATAGATAGATAGATAGATAGATAGATAGATAGATAGATAGATAGATAGATAGATAGATAGATAGATAGATAGATAGATAGATAGATAGATAGATAGATACGCTCAAAGTCGCCGAAGTTCACTAAGAAATGTTTAGCATTAATAATCACTTATTGCCGTTCAGGACATGGCTCCCCTCATTCGCGCTTCATCGATGTTCTTGCGTGTTTCCATGCATGCGCTGAAGAGACGCGTAGGAAAATGGCAGAATCGGCTTGTGAAGTCGCTCACAAACACATCCTGGGATTGAGTTTTAAAAAGTCTTTTCTCTTATACCCTTATTAAAAAACTAGCGCTGAAAAATTTGAATCTGGTCCAGTTTTAGATTCATTGCCTCGCAAAGCCCGGTGATCGAAGTTAAAAATCCTGAAATGCTTGAATAGTTGTTCATCAAAACGCCCAGAATAGGTTTAAAATATACGTCAAAAACATCTTTAGCATCCTACTATTGAACAATCCCATGAAGCGCAAGCGTTCAACAAAAGACAGAATTAGCACAAAGAAAGACTAGTGGTGCGTGCTCTGCAAGAAGTTTCGCAGAAACACAACACCACGTTCTGTGTAGATGCAATGCATGGAACCCAAGAACTGGGCTTCTTAATGCTGCGTAAGGGCCCACAGAGTGAATTTCAAGCATTTTTACTGCAAATATTGAAGGAATGAATTTTTTTCACACTGTCTTGTTTGCCCACGCAGCGTTTCGTTTGGCCTTGCAGGTTGGAGTAAAATGAGACATCTGGAGCAGTTTTTTATTTATTCCCGTAATATTGTTTTGAGTGGTGGCCACATGGCAATATTTATGTAACACATGCATTCTACCGAAGTGAAAGTTTATGCTTTGATGTTCATTTGTAAGGAGTGAAATAAAAATAAATATTCACAATTTCAAAACCTTTTGTTGCATTTTACCCCGACCTCATCCTCATAGTCAATGCCGCAGAAACGTTCAGAATGTAATCAGAATGTTATTCGTATGAATACTTTGCGGGATACGTGCATAACGGACTTCCGGTGCAGGGTCATGCGGAGCATTCACGTTCGTCACTGACAGATTTAGCTTTGTACAAATCAAGCGCTCGCTCCAGGGCTCTCGCGGTGACTCCGAATCTCTCATTGCTGACAATCACGTCTGGGTCTTCATTCTAGGACAACAACGAAGCTGGCTCCCAGTTCGCATGCACGAACATGACGCTATAAATATAAATATACGCTCGCAATGACTGAAACGTGGGTTTTCCTATTTCTCGCATGCATTTGCGAGGCTTTTGCGGTTTCATGGATTCCTGACGTGTATTACTGATTAATTACAATTTGTTTGTGCTTGGCAGGACCCATTTTTGTTTATTGTGGCTACTATACAGGGCAACGTATGCAATGACTACCGTAGCCAGTTCCTCCGTAGCATCTACAGAAGTGGCAAATGACTGTACGAAGAGAGGTGACAACGCACCTTGACCTTTATTGCACAACCCATGGTGCCTTGAATGAATCAAAGCAGGAACTTTACGGGGATATATACGAAAAGTTAGTACAGGTTTTTGTATGTTCGGAGTCTCTCTTCCATTTTTCGCAGTGCCTGCGAAAGTAGATAAACACTTTACAGGGATTGGTTTTCATCAGTTTAATGTTTTTGGCCGCCACAAATCAACAGAAAACACACACGATTATGAATATTTAGTCTCGCAGAAAGTCATTGCGAAAAACCATCTCTCGAGGCTTACAAGTCATAACAACTCGGGATAAATTGATCGTACCCTGGGGGGTGTTTCCGTGAACAATACAGTAATGTAGTGCGGCGTGCTGTGGTCGCATCAATATCCTTGGTAACGTCCCAAACTAAATGCTTGATCTCTGTGCTTTAAAATGACGCTCAGAAAAATAGCCATTAGTTTTAAACGGGAAATATAGCTACATAGCGAATATAACTAGGGCGAACGTTGTTGGTCACCTAAAGGTACTATTGGTTCTGAGAGCGTTTTGGTCCGGTCTATCGGAAAATGGTTGAACCACACAGCTTATTCTTTGTTTTCATTCGTGTATTTAATTATGGCAAATGGGCCACAAACGCCGGCATCAGGTTACTTCTGCAGTGATCTAATTTATCTCAGAGGAATTAAACTTACGTGGCTAGCAAGAAGTGACGCAGTATCCGGTGGCCGGTAACGGGATTATCTCAAAGGCTGTTATAATTACAGTACCACAATTAGATTTACTGGTTTAAGTCGGACATGAGATCTGCGTCCAAACAATTGCATAGAGGAATTGTGTTGCTTGTATCTGTATCCAACAACGAACATCCAGGTTAGGTCGTGCTGTGGAGCCGACTTCTCGCGCCCTTTAGTACCAATTTCATTATTGAATCTGTATCACTGGTATTGTTCCTCCAATGTCACTTCTGTGCGAGCAAGATAAAGCTCACAGCGCAATCAACGACTAGGGCTTCTCAGCCAAATACTACAAAGAACAAGAGCTTACCACGATTGTGTATCATTGATATTTCTTCCTACAGGTTCATTAGAGCCGTATGACCGAATAAGACTCAGTGCACTGAATACCAGTAGTGCATTTGAGTTTCCTTTGCTCGACGAGAAAATTTCCCATTGGATGCGTAGTGCCTTGCTGCGTATGTACAGTCGTTGGTAGCAGTTAACTTCACCGAGCCGAACTCTAACGTGGTTGAGTCAGTGGTTAGCACGTAAAACACGTGTTCGGATTGCTGAAGGGTTTTGTTGCACCCGTTCTGGCACCACTGCATTCGTTTCAATGCATGGGGGCAGAAGAACCATTCCTTTGAAGGACGTCCGATCGTTCCGCCATGCATCTGTGTACATCGGGAGAGGTCCGCGCATGTGCAAAGAACCTCCCCAGGGGCGCACGTCGTTTGCGACTTGGGGGAATGATGGAGACGTGGGCCACAGCTGGAGCGGCACGGAAGGCTAACTTTGCTGTGTGTTGGGCGCAACCCTCGGAGGCAATTTGCGGTTTGGCGAGGAATGTTGCCACGCCAGCCCGGTTTCATTCAAAGTGTTGAGCGAGAGGAGAATGCTCGTTTCGCCGGGGGAGGACAGGCGTTTAAGTGCCTGGCGGTATCGTTTATTAGGGGAAGCCTGATTGTTGACAAAGAGCACCCCTCGGCGGCGGCAATCTATTGCTTCAAAAAGCCAGCAACAAGGAGCGATCTCGCTTTGAATTTCCGTGCACATGGGGCGAAGGGCAAGTTAACTTGCTCGGAGGTGGTGACATCTTGGCGAGCTGAGGGACTCACGTGTGATGTCGGCGCGCCAGGCCAACTACAAGCAAACAGAAGCAATTTGTAAACAAAAGGCTCTGGGACACTGCTGTAGTTGTTGCGCAGTGTTGCTCCAAAAATGTACAGGACGGGCTCAAAAGGGGGTGGCTACGATGTAGACTAGAATAGCCTTGCCTCATTTTTTTAGGTATTACGATCTGATGTACTCATTGATCGAAACAGGGTGAGGGATTCGAACAATGGTTCCATGCCATACAACGACTGTTTATAAACAAGATGTATGCGGAATGAAGAGGAGCGCGAGCCGGGAATCGGCCGCCGCTGCGCAATAATTTGCGTGGACCTGATCTGATTTAACCTTTGACTTTTGCTTGTAATAAACAGTTTTGTTCTGCAAGTTCACCTCCCTTGTTGCAAGGTGCCTGCAGACGACCATTCCAAGTTGCGGGAAACGCCGATCTTCTTACCAGCCCGAAAGTGCAGATTGTTCAACTGCACGTAGCCATCGAACTCACCAGAATGTCTAACTTTCCGAAGTGCTTCAAAGTCTTCTCGACCACTTTGGCGACGTCGTTCTCCACGGCTACGTCGCCGGGAACGACAAGCACCTGAAGATCAATTCGGAAAAGAAAAAAAAAATACTAAGAAGTCACGTTTCGTGTCGATACATGATCAACGAAACACTTTTCATAAATAATTTGTTTCGCTGTATGTACAATTCAGGAGGTCTATAATGATTAGTTTCCCTCGAATGATCAAGAGCTGCAGAGATTACTTACAAGTTACACTGCATGTGATGGTTTCGCACATTCCCTGGCATTAACGCTGCGAGCATGGGCAATTCTGCTTTCACAAGTTCATCAGAAACACTGTACACTGTATAATAATCATGGTGCTGTTGAAACAGCCCTTCAAAATCGCGCAAGAAACGTTACGTGCTTTGGGCAAGCCAGGCAAGTAGACGTACCCCGAGGCAAAAGATCAATGTGGCTCAAATGAACAATTAAAGAAGCCTGTGCTAAATTGAAAAGGAACATTCTGGACAGACATTTCGGATTTATTTTGAGGGTGAGTGTACGGCTTTTGTTATCAATCCTGTTTGCTTCTTTCGAAGATATATAGAGGTCAGCCACATTCACGGAGTACAATGAGACCTAAAGCTTTCGAATATATTTTTCGCATGATCCCTACCAAGGAGAAAAACCCAAAGGCCCGAAACGTTTTGTTAGGAATAAATAATTTTGAAATTGTTTTATACCCGTGCCACACGGGCAGAAAAAATGGCATTTACCCCCAAATGCCTTCAGATTTATTGCCATTCGCGCGGTGCCACACGGGCGAACAAAATGGCATTCACCCGAATGCCATTCGCCGCCAACTGCCTTCGCCAGAACTCAGTTGACTGAGAAATGCCTACTCTCGACGACACAGCTCGCGAAGTGCGATTTACCTGAAAGTATATAAAACAAATCATATTGAGCTAAAAATGAAATTTCCCGTCTTTTATTTGCACTAAAGTCTTAAAAAGATGCTTTGAACGTTATACGAAGAAAATAAAGTATTGATAATGAAACGCTTGTCAATTTTAGCGACACTTTGGCTGGCAAACAAGCATGCAACACTGGTATTTTCATCGCCATCGCCATCGAGTTCACTTTCTCCGTGACTTTCTCTGCTTTTTCTCGTCTCTGCGCCAAAATTATTCGCTCTTGAGCACGATGCTTTGCACGGAAACACACAAGTGCTGCCGTGAAAAAACGAACTCTGCGAAGATCTTCTGAGAGATGCGACAGGTGCGATGCGACAGGCGCCATTTTCTATTTACGTTGTGGATCTGACTAGTGTTGGCTTAGGTTGCTATGGTCGGCTGCAATGTTGTAAAACAAAGCAAGAAACTAAAACTTAGGACAGCGTAATACGCTTATTTCTACATTTGATGATTATCTGATGTGTATGAAGCTTGTAAATGCTTCTTAATTTTTTTTTATTGCTATTCACTCAATGCTCACTTGGAAGGTGCTGTGATCGACATCGTCAAGCCAAATGTCATTCGCTCTGGACGTGTAGCAGCGCCGGCGAAACAAATGTCATTCGGGAACTGAAGGCCTTCGCCACCAAATGTCATTTTCTATGCCCGTGTGGCACGGGTATTAATCGTTAAGGTACGAAATGAGCTACAGCGTAAGCTTTTATGGGCAGAATAGATGCTGTGTTGATTACCGAATGAGCCATTTTTTTGTGAAACATCAGTGCCACTGAACTGAGTGTACGCTCAATTCGTTACTGTTCTCAGTACTTAGGTGGTATTTCGGGCCACCGTGTCTGCGATAGACGAGCCTTCTTGATAAAAGACTTTATTTTTACTTGAACAATGACAGATGGCAGTGTTGTTTGCTTTAATTGTTCTTGTGGATACAGCATGGTTGAATTCACGTTTATCTCCAATTTCTGCGAAGGGCCACGCGGTGATAAGTGGTTTATCTTTTCAATACGTATTGATTTGTATGCGTAGTTTTCAGTTGTACACTGCTTATTTTACGTTTCAGTTTTATTTAAAAGCTCGTTACAATGTACCACATTGAATTCTTTAGTCACCGCTCTATCGCAGCCTACAGTAACAAGGTATCTCGAAATGCAGTCGCTGCTGCAAGCCTACCTTAGACACGTAACGGCTGCATCTTTCACGAATACGAAGTAATCGTAATAGTACTTTGTTGAAGACTTCTTTCAAACTTGGCAAAAGTTTTTAAGGCTGTTATAAAAATGGTCCTCTAGCTATTTGTAAACTACTTTAATAGTATTCAATTCACATTTTATTCGATCTCATGGCTATTTTATTCATATCTGACTAGTTTTGAACTTCACTATCCGCACATTTGTAATGAACACCAAAAATCCTCTTCTTTGGCATCTTCTTCTGGCGCCTGTATTTCATTTGACTACTTCGTCATCAGCGACCTCCAAAGAATTCTTGAAGACAATTTGTTCTTTCGTACGAATGATAACAGTGCTAACACTGTTAGCAGTGCCCCTTAAGCATTGTAGGGTGAAGCAGACAGCCTCCACCGCCCCTTCACACATATAAACACTATTCGCACGCCTATGTTGGTGTAGGCGAACCCTTCGAAGCAATTCCATTCTTTATGTCCCTATGAATGCTACTTGGTAGCAGATATTTTAGAACTCAGGCTAACTCAATGTTATGAGTCTCACGTTTGCTTTTTGCCAAATGAATAATTCAAACCTGAGCAGCTCACTGTCACGTCTCAATGCCAATCTTTTAGGGTAATGTTCACTCTTATTGGACTGTTGCATCATGCGATCAATAAACATGTTTACTGCATTTTTTTTGGGGGGGGGGGGGGCATTTTCTTTGTCTTCGAGTTTGACAACACATGGCACTTGCCTTGTCTCGTGGAACACCCTTGTCGCAGCAAGCTTGGGCCACTCTTTCAAGATTCGCCTTGATTCCGTGCAGTCAGCGACAGCCAGCAGCCGAGAGAGGCAAAATGTACGGCGGTGCTTTCGCCAATGCCTGATGAAGCACCTGCCTCAATAAAACGGACAAAAGGGAAACGAGACGGTTCGCTTGCAATGACAAAATAAGTGTTCAATATGTTCGAAACTGTTAGCATCGCCTAACTTCACGCCCATGAAAATTTATATATCGCTGTTTTTCATGACTGTAGGGCCAGTTTCGTGCTTAAGGACATTGAAGAGTGACTGATACAAAGCGTAAACAAAAACCAAGAGAACTTTACTAATTTGAATGAGCCGTGAAACGTGCCAAGCACGTGTAGCATCGTTATGATGGCTGCAGACGATTCCTCTTGGGCCTGAAACACAGGCATTATGTCTTTTTTTTTCTGGCAAGCGTCCTACTATATAGCGCACCAGTGCGATTGGAAGCGCCCGTAAACATTAAATACCAACAGATATGGCGAGGCGTATCTGAGAACTGATCAAGTCTACTCAAACAGCGTTTTTGGTGGCTGGCTCTCTTCTCATGAGTCTGTCTTCGTGTGGCTCAATTCAATATGAATTCTTAGCAACTTACTCAACTTTCTAAACTAAACAGATTCAGATAGATGCTTTCTGTTCCCAGTTGAATGCATCGTTACACTCTCCCCGTTTCTGATGTTTTCTGATATTGGTCTTGAAGGAAGTAGAATACTTACAGTAGGTCTAATATGTAATTTTTGCTGTACACTTTCAAATGAATAGAATAATAATGGGTACACAGTAGTAGCAAATCATAGCTTTAGCCTTCGCCAAATACACAAGATAAAAACGAACAAATACATCGAAGGGAAGTGGAAGAAAAAAACACTAGTTGTAGACTAGCCATGCACGCTAACGCATCTAGCCTCTTATTTTTTGACATATCGAGTCACAGCGCCTATCCTTTCATGAGTACTTGTAAGTTTAGAATGAGTTGTCCGAGATAGTCTTGTTGCTCAATGTCACGGCGGGGGCTGTCTAACGTCTTTCTTTTTTCTTTGAATAGCAGTCTTCCTTTTTGTAGTGTCAAGTCGACTGAACAATAAACCATAAAGGAATTCACAACCACCGGAGACGCAACTTTCGCTATGCCTTAAATGTGGAGAAAAATTACTGAGGTACTCAATTTCAAGAAATCACAAGTATGAAAGTCAACAGACAATGAGGACCAAGCGATGCCAACTATACTTCCGCTTACCTAATTCGAATGAATAAACAATATATTCACAGCACGTTAAGTTACCAAAATGCGTGAGATCGATTACTTGTAGCACACTTCATAAACAAGTTAAACTATCAAAAACGAGACTTATTGCGAGACACAAAGAGCCCTGATGTGAGATACGCGCTGAATTGTGTTCTCAATTGATTCCATGGTTGAACTCTCACCCACCTCTGATGTTTTCTGGTATTGGTCCACGTGGTGGACCAATAATAATTTAGGAATCTATACCAGTTCAGGAATCAGTCCACTTCCTACCAAGCTCAACAAGTTTCGAACTATTTGGTAATACACGCTCTACCATTTCTTGCACGAAAATTGTCTTACACAAAAGACGACAACAACCACGGGCAGGCGCAATCTTCCACCTGAATTGATTCATTCGGAAATTTTTTATCCTTATTCAACTGGTCCTCTGAGCGAAGGTAAATACCTCTTACGTCATTCGTCCTAGCAGCGCAGCTTGCATGCGGAGGCAGAGCTCGTCCACCGTCGAAGCGGCACTCACGCAATGTCACAACCTGAAGTATCGTACGGCGACTTCCGCGGTGTCATCAAGCGGCTGATCACGACAAAGCTTGCTGTCCCATGCAACCTGGCTGCTCAATTGTTGGTATGAAGCCACTGTTTTGTTATTGTCTTGCGTAAAATTATTTTGAGTTAAATCTGATTTCCAGGCCACAACAAACTACGTGGCCAAAAGGCTGACTTGGTAATATGTGGCGCTTTACAACTTCTTCCCCGCCGGGGTGGTCTAGTGGCTAATGTACTTGGTTGCCGACCCGCAGGTCGCCGGATGGAATCCCGGCTGAGGCGGCTCGATTTTTTATGGAGGCGAAAATGCTGTAGGCCCGTGTGCTCAGATTTGGGCGCACGTTAAATAACCCCAGGTGGTCGAAATTTGCGGAGTCCTTCACTACGGCGTTTTTTATATATGTATGGTGGCTTTGGGACGCTAAAATACACGTATCAATAAACAAACAAATAAATAAATAAACAACTTCATAGCAAACAATTCATGGAACGTTTTTCACTCAGATTAGCAGATGGGGTTAATGATTTCAATCACGGGGATTTGAAAAATAAGAAATTACCTTTCTGCGAAATATATTTTAAACTTCAGTGTTTTTGGAAAATGACTTACGTTCATCAAGACTGTGAAGCAAAAGAAAATGGAATGAAACAGCCTTGTTTACTTGAATTCGCCTTATTTCTTAGTTATTGAATTTGTAAAAAATCGCCAGGACTGCACAGTACACGCAGCACAGTCACAGCAAAAGCTGCAAGCGCGACCTTTCAGAAACTTTTTTGAACACTCTTTGGGCAACTGTTGCAAGCGCACTTGGAAGGTGCTCACTACGTCATTAAATACGTGTAGCAGGGAGGTATTCTTGATCATGATGTTGATGATGACCTATGTCTAAGGTTCACACGCACTCCGGTGTATTGGCCAAGAAACGAATAATTGTAAAGAGGTGATCCCATATGAAGTCCATGTATAGAGAATTCACTATGCCATCCTTCGTCACTTTTCGGAGAAACGTGGGACCCGCTACACACTTTCAAGGAATTATGTGCTATTTTTCACGCTTTGGCTGACAACATCTCTGGCATGGTCTAGTGGTTAGGATACCTGGCTCTCTGTCTGACTGACAACGATGAATCCTGCCTGAAGCTGGGTGGGAGCGTTTGACGACGCACTAGTTACGCAATTTCCATTGTGTTACACCTGGTTGTTCTTTTTTGTTCTAAAACGTTAGGTTGGTTGGTGACAACTTTATTGTCGAAAACGTTTTATTACTCATATTGAATCGATTCCCTTCCCGTAATCAAGCCTACCCAAGGCCAGCTTCAAACGGAGTTTGGAGCACCAACGCTGCTCAGTGGTATTACACTGGACTGGCATGCCGTAGACCCCAGTTTGAATTTCTTTGCATACTGGCAGTTTTTATGTACTTAGCTTTTTCTCTTTTCTTGCGCGATAGTGGTTACGGACACTGGCGGTAGCGGCGGCTTACAGCTATGGCACCTTGTTGTGATCGTATATCAGCTCTCGCGGTAAACCCACGTTATTAGCTCGATATTGTCTGGACACACCCTGCACTAACATCAAACTCGTGAAAGTGCTAAATATGGGTGGCGACCAATACATGTCGATACACTAGCAATGTTACCTTTAAACTTCCTCATTACATTATACGCAAATGCAGTGTGACAGCCAAAACACTATTCTTGAGACAATTGTTGGAGGTTAACCTTCTTCGCTAATTATACCACACACCTACTTGATACAATTTCCTCACACTTCTGATTTCATTATTTCACTGAGGAGAGCCAAGTCGACAGATTCAAACAATAGCTAAGTACATCACTAAACCTGTCTGTTACACCATGCACGTATCCAGACTTTTAAAAATACCAGCGTCAATTGCAAGAATCAGCTTCTACAGGAGTTCCTCGAGACTGAGTAGCACAATCCCTAACTGGAGTGGTGCGCAGTTTAGATGATCAATACCTACCGGTTATCAGGGCCACTTTTCCACTTAGATCCGGCATCGCGCGGTGACGAACGTACGCTAGATATGGACGACTCGGGATGCCTTGACACTCCGATGCGTACGTGCGGGACTTCTCACGACGAATGAACCACAATCATCGGGTCTACTTTTGTGTATTGTGAACCACCCCCGTGCGTCCGTCTCCTTGTACTGTCACGAAAGAAGAGATAAAATGCTGTCGGCTTGGAGCAAATAATAGAAAGCTAAGATTGCGCATGTTGGTACAACGAGATTACGTGCGTATATCGGTGCCTAGCTTCGAGAGGCGGAAGTAGAGAAAATATATAAATACACTTCATTTCGTCAGAACACATATAGAAGGTGTATCTACTCAGGAGATAAGGCACTAGGAGTACCTAAACCCACCGTACCTTGCTAGGACAGTAGAATCAACAGATTAGAACGATACAAATCAACATTGAATATAACCAATAACACATTAAGAGTACAATCACTAGTTGCAATAAGAACAATTACAGCCATAACACAATCAAAAAGTAGACATAATCACAGTAAAAGGGTAATCAGATGCAGTAGAAGCACCAGATCCCTGATTAGGTAACTATTCATGCTCTTTAACACTAATATTTCGTAGAAAGTCATTGCGATCGCCAGACGTTCTAATGAGTACTGAAGTGAATCTTACATCAATATATCTACAACACATCTGAATCCAAAAGAAAAACACGTTCCGTCATTACTTTTAACGCAAAAGTGTAGTATTCCGGGGTCCACCGCGGCTCCGCGGACGTACTTCCGTCACGGAAGTGTCATTGAAAAATATATTCCAACAGATTTCAAAGAAAAACCCCGAAGGCAAGCATCTGTGGTGTGGAAGCGAACCAGCAACCTCTCAGTTCTCAACAGGCGGGTCTAACCATGTACTTACGTCACAGAGCTGTGCTGTCCGGAATGCTAACGGCAAGCCATTTATATACATTATATAGCGTTTGACCTTCGAAACTTTAGAGCGTCTTTGTTATCAGTAACAAGACAGCGTGACGGGCTCACGTTGGGCGTGCTATAAAGTTCGTCGCCTCCACGAAGCGCCGCCTCCACGGAGCGTGGTCTCTACTGCGCGCTGTTAAGAGTACGAGGTCAATAGCTGGTACGGTGGGTTTCCTTTAGAGTAGCTGGTTGACCACCATCATCCACATAGCCGATGTTCGCCAGTGAGGGGACGCGTTTATAGGAGTCTGAACGAAAGGTTTATTTACATGATAGTTAAAAGATGGAACTGTACAGAGATTCAGCTCATTATTCAGCTATGTACAAAGATTCAGCGATCATCTACAAGATGTCTTCGGCTCTTATAGCCCGCCGTCTCCTTGCACAGTGGTTCCAAATAGGCGGTGACCACTCTTGCCACAAATCACGTGACGAAGTCTCAGTGGTCCACCCACCAGAAAGGGTGCAAATATTGCACCACTCGGCTGAGCGAAAATGTTCAATGGTAGCACGTACGCACCACAGAATGACGCACCCGGCCCACGCCTTGAAGACGTTGAAGGGCGGGGGGGGGGGGGGGTAGAGTCAGGTGGAGAGGGAAAGTTTAACTCCTCCGGAAAGATGGCCGCAGACACGAACATCAGCAGTGTTTCAAAGCAGCGTTCTGATACAGTGTTGCCAGAAGCTTCCCGAACTCGGCAGGCCAGGTGCCCTGAGAACTGCGACTGCGACGCCTTCACGCGCTTCCGGACTTTCGGTGCTTTTGTGACAATTTCGCGTCCACGATGACAGCCGAGTCGAGATTCTGACTCCATGAGAACTGCCACAGTGGCGCCGTCCCATGCTGTTCGAGCCCGTTCAACAAAATAGTTGTCTCCCGAAGCTTTCGTTGAGACCCGACCACTACCTAGAACCCCTACAGGACAACGTCTAGCTGGCAAAGAGCAGATGGGGTTGAAAGCATCCTAGCAGACCGGCTTACACACAATGGCGTCTGCCCAGACAAATTGCGGGGCCAAACGTTACAGCTCCTCCGCCGCCCGGAAAATCTTGGCTGGCCAGTGCTCCCAACCGCTGGGAACGAAGAGTATGGCTGGTGACGAGGACGACGGCCTGGCTTGGAACTTCCAACTGTGAACTCGTAACCAACTCCCATACCACCTCACAATGATCGACAACAGCAAGGCGAATCGCACAACACAATACCATGCCGCAGTAAAGCATAATGAACTCGATTAAAACCCACCAGGCTTCTCAAGAAACACAAACAAATTCTACTCAGAAATTTTTACGGAATTTTGTGCAGCCAAAGTTACAACATTCATGGATGTGGAGATGCCTACTGAAGATGGAAATATTTACCTTGTGAGAAAAGCACACAACGACAAATACAATTTGGCCCCCCACAAAAATATACAACCTCTCTCAAAGCCAACTTCCTACCATCCGCACCACTATGTAGCAACTAACATCCGCTAGCTCACATAATGAAACACAACTAACTGCAATGGTTTCACAGGAATGCTGCCTGTACCTACACAAGTATATTCGCATTCTCTATTTTCTGATTACATACTTTCAAGGCGTAGTCGTGAGTATCTACTTGTAGGACACCCTGACGCCAACGATAACTCTCTCACAACAGATCGAACTGCTTTTTTTTTATAAATCCGTGTAATGTATTTCTAGCCTCGACGTTCGTTAAAGCTTAGCACTTTCCTCAAGAGATCACCTTAGCTCTGAGCACTCACTAAAATAACAAAAAAGGAACAAATCTTGTGTACTAATACGCTCATTTGCTGAAGGTAGCCTCACGTCAGCCCATGTCTTTTAAAGAACGGATAGTATACTGCTATATGCCGTAGCACGACATAATACTCTCACTCATAGAATGCTTAGTATGCTAACACACACCTAACCATAGGTCATATTCATATAACCTAGACACCTCTAAACACGCATCTGGCCGTAAATGTTCACAAGGAACAACACATAAAACAGCGCTAGATGCCATACACTTCAGGAGCACCTAACAGAACTTGCCTAAGTTTTGTGTTAGAAACCCTTCATTGAATGATTCTCAAACAGGAGCATTTCGAAAATCGCTTCTGGTTTTCTTTAAAACATTCTTTAACAATGCTCAATTACTCTCTAAAGATGGTAGAAAACCTCGCACTACACTAAAGAGCACGAAGCATACAAACTTCGGCTCCGCTCGACAACGCTACCATGCCTTCAAAACTAGCGGGGCGTACAAATTTTCTTTCACTACTAACGCGCTCTTAATCAGAGAAAAACTCATTGTACGCAGTCGGCTGACTGATGCGGGTTACTTCTTCCGCATAATGCTTAACCACTTGAATCTAAACTCTGACAAAGCTTACACAATAACAAAATCTAGCAGGAAGAAACTGTAGCTAAACGAACTATCCGTGGAGGTGATATAGAAATACTACATTAGAACCAAAATTGAACAAACATGCTTCCTAAAAAATTCCTTTGTCCGACTCTCCAGTCTACAGCTGTCCCTCACTTCAATCGTACACGTGGCGGTCGTGGTCTTGGCGGATTTGAAAGCGCCCAAGACGACAACGTTCACGTGCTAAAAACCGAACTGCGTATCACGCATCCTTCGTGATTTCGGCCTGGTTTTGTCAGTTTGGCAGAGGGGATCCGAGCAACGCGCGGGAAAGAGTGGCAATGTCCTGTTTCTTGCACCCGCGTGGTGCTTAGTTAGTGTTGCCTTTCTTCTAGGACACCTTCGATGCTCATGTCAGCGCAAAGCTATAAATCCCCGGCGTGCATTCCGTCGCGAGAATGCGCGCCATGGCCTACCGTTGCGCCGCTGGTCGCTTACTGCACGCCACAAAGGCCCTTTCGTTAGACTAGCCAATGATGTAACCCTCTTTCTTTCGTCCGGCTGCTTGCCGCTCTGTCATTCCTTTGCTTTGTCGCGCGCGCACGCTTCACTCTCTTGCGGCGACATTTGCGACCGACCTTTTCCTCACTACTAGAAAGTGAGCCTTGGTTTGCGTCATCGGTGGAATCACAACTCAAGGGCGCATCTGCACCACCTTTTTTAGCACTTCGGCATTTCAATTTTTTGGCATTGTTGCCATGTCGGGCCGACTCACCTGTACTGAAGCTGCCCTCGTGCGCGCCTTGAAACGTGCTGTCGATAGAACTGAAGTATCAGCGCCTTACAAGGGAATGCATTCGCGAAAAACCCGCTTTTCTATTTCTTTTCATCCAACGGCTCCGACGCATGCAGAGCAACTTTGACGCTGATGCGAAACGACTCTTTTTGCCTGCTACGCTCAAATGTTTCGAGCTTTCATCAACACGCGTAGTGCCTTTTGTCTCGCTCGCTGCTCTCCAACGTCTCTTGCGTCTGCGCCACTTCTTGCGGCTCGTTTTGGAGTCTCCCGATCGCGTTTCACACTCGTGAGCCCTCTCACAGCTTTCGTCAGCTGTCTAACCCGCGCAGTCTAAATTATTCTCGTAAAAAATTATGTCTTTCACACTATTGACTGGTGGACAGCTTAACGCGCTTAGAAACCATGCCGCTATTTTCCTTCGAACAAGTTAGCTCGCCTTGCTGGGAGCTGACTGCAACCACACTGTTTTCCCTACTCTCTGCATTCGCTGCTTCTCCTGAGCTCTCTCCGGTGTTCTCGACTACTTTCACCTCGTTTGCAAGATTAACCGTCACGACAACCTGAGTTGAGGTCCGTGCCAGCTTGTCGAACACTATCTTAGCTCTTTCACTAGCATTCAACTGGCACAGCCCCTCATCGCACTCACTCTGGCCTTCGGCGGCTTTTCTCACTGGAGCAGAATTTTTCGCAGCTCTCACATTCGATTCATCTTCGAACCTACTGCTGTCTTGATACGTGCTAGCCCTCTCTACGGCTCTGAACTGCACTTCGCTCACTTGTTCATTGCACTTCTCGTGCGCTACAGTTGCGGATGACTGAGATTTTGGATGCATTGCCTTAACCTTACTTTCCAGCATTTCAATCTCCAGATCGAGTGCGCACTCACGCTTTTCCATTTCTCACTCGCGTTTTTCTATTTCTCTTTTTTGCTCGCACTCCTGTCTTTCCCTTTTATTCTCCCTCTCCTGCCTTTCTCTTTTGTTAGCCTTCTCCTCTCCTCTCTTTCTTTCTCTTCTCTTTCTTTATCCGCCTGACT